CACACATACACACACACACACACACAGACACACTAACTGCAAAGACTCCCATTTTGTGCTTCGCACATGGGAGTCAATAAAATGAGATGAAATATACCTGCTAATCTACCGAGACCACCATTACCCAGACCAGCATCCTCCTCAATATCTTCCAATTCTTCAATGTCAAGTCCAAGCTGAAGGTATAAATTAATTAAACATTTGATTAACTCAATTTAAATCCCATGTTAATTGCCAAGTGAGTCAGGTAAATCAATTACTGGCTTCAAATCAATTCAGTCCAAGTTATATTTTGGGGTACTGGGGTAATAGGTTAAAAGTTCAGGTACTGTACACCAGACTAACCTATGAGGTGATGATCTGAGTCAGCACATTTAATTAATCTGCTGAACCCAGTTACCATAGAATAACATTAAAATGTCTTTATTATTGTAATGCGTTGTATTCTTATAATCAAGCAATTGTGGAGTTTTGTTTCAGAAACTATTTTTAAAATAACTGAACCTTGAACATTAATGTAAATAGTTGAAATAATTACTGCTAGTTCACTTGCACTTAAAAACTCAGACAATCATTGATATTACTCCCGGGTCACATGCTCGACAACCGACCATGGCAAAAATTCAAAGCTGACACATGTACACAGAATGAGTACAGCGTAGGTGTGATATATAATTTGTAATAATTCACCTGGTACATGGCTTCATCGCATTCACTCTGGATACCCAAGTTGACCATGGTATTGGTCAGGGTACGTCCCATGTAGTATTCCAAAGACAAATAATAAACACGCTGTAAAACAAACAAATACGATATGAGTATACATTCAAAATGACATTTTATATTCACTATATAGAATTTCTGTTAATTTAATATAGTATTAATTTTAAATCAAATTTACTGTAATTGTACTACTGGTACCCACAGAAAAACAAAATGACCAATGAACAACTATTTTAATACAGGGTTTTAGTTTTTTATTTTATTAAATTAAAATGTCAATAATTAAATCTTTCAATAGTCCCAAAGCATCTGAATTGAATTGAATTGTGCCTGGAATCAATGAAACAATTAAGATGTGAGCCCTGGCAGACACACTGACAGTGATGTGAGGCGACACGAGGGCATGCTTTGTACACTATAGGTTGGACACTTTCAAAGAAAACAAAACTCCACTAAAATCTTTGTGTACTTTTTCATCTTTATCAAAATCTTAGCGTACTTTGGTCTGTATAAATCTCATTACTACTGGTAATCACCTCCTTATTAATCAGTCTGAACAATTCCTATTAGCCACGTTCAGACAGGCTCTCAGCTCGTACTGAAAAAGATGTTATCGATAATCTTTAAGCTGGCAAAAGGATTATCGATGTTGCGTTGTCAAACAGAGGTGTGACAGTAATTTGGTTGGAGTCAAAATAAAATCATTAATTGATGACCTTTCATAATCATCCCAATATTTATCAATATCATATCATGTCGTGTGTTAATATTACAATGCAAATAATATGCAGTCTCGGGAATCAATTTAAATGTTTTACATAATGCTCAGATCACAGTATGTTGTTCAGGTAATTTATATTTCACAAAAGAATCCCCCGAAGAATCCACGCTAATAAAACATACATGGGAAGCAAAATTATATGTACAGACATGTACAACAAATTATTGTTGAAAAAATACAAGACGATTTGTAGAAATGAGCTCATAACAAATACTAGCCAATCACAAAATACTTCATGGTCTTGAATAACTCACCATAAAAAGAATCGATATAAAGTGAAAAGGTACATCAAGAAACATATTGCAGAGAAAAAATAAATGTATATTCAAAGACAACCTTTACGTTTGTTAACATAGTTGGATACACAGGATGCAATATTCCCATACAAAGCAAGCATAGCATTAAGTGTCACAATAGTAATTATTAAGGATTTAAAATTTTTGTCAAGTTTATATGTAATCTTATTATTTTTTGGGGAATTCTTTCCTCCAACAACCAATTTGAGTGAAACTAAGCGTTCAGCCAGACATAAAACGGCATGTGCCGAGGATGGTCTGGGCAAACCCAAAAAGGTTCATTTTCGGCTCATCCCAGAGCATACAGCCGAGACGAGGTACATGCTAGTCAGCACAAGCATATGCCAAGTGCATTCATCTGACCGCAGTAATTATAATCGCATTCGTATATTATGTACATGTAGCGTGCATATATGAAAACTGGTTTACGCTATAATCACATATTCAATATTCTAAGGGAGAATCTACTCATAACAAATCCCTCCATGATCTCATTGATGGTTTAGAAGATCAATTCATATGCACAGGTGGTAGAATATAATATATTTCCTCTCACTATAGTATTTATCAACCACATGTGCACACAGAAATATGCTATTATTTCAAAAGGTGACGTGAACATACATGCAAATATTGAGTTGACATAAAATCATGGTTCTCTGCAATTTAATTTCTTATACTATATTTGCTTACATAAATGAGAGATGTGTGTCTATGGTTTAAAATAATGACACATTTTGATGATTTCGTATACAATAAATGCAAATTTCTTGATGTGTACTTCCATTAGAGGCAGTTTACCGGATGAAATCTTTTGACTGTTTTATAGTCTAACGAGGTATACATGTCTGGTTTTTTTCTTACGTTATTTTAAATTAACATATCTATACCAACACAACAAATATTTTAATGTTATCAGAATATAGTTTAGTTAATCTTGCACATGTGGACTGTTTGAGCAATAAATAAATAATCTGGTGAATATTAAAATATTATTGTAATATAAATAAAAACATTACTTAATATGCTTACATAAATATTGTCAAGTGAGATACAAGGGTTCAAGGGATTTGTAAATTTACATCATAACAATCCAGTCAAAATAAGGTGACAAATATATTTTGATAGTATAAGATTTAGGAAAATAAGATTAAAGTTTAACGTGTCCTGATTGTCAATACAACATTACAAGTTATAGCTGTGATTGTGAGACAAATCAATCTGGCAGGCTTGGAAGTGGCACAGTATACACATGTGGGGGTAGTGTATATACACAGGCTTGTGAACAACAGCTGTGGCAGGTGACATTGAATCAACATTATCATGAATTATTCATTTTTTCCCAGGTAACATAGAATTGTCTTAGATGAATGATGACAAGGCCAGTTTTAATTAATAGAGTGATAGTCTGTAAAATGAATGTTTAAAAATGTTATAGTCTTCTGTGTGTTCATTCAAAATACATGGGGGAATTGCTCAACTACTGAGCCTGATTTAGTAACAGCAATTACCCTTGATATATCCTCAGACCACTAAAGAACAGACTAGCAACGCCTATTGTTTTAGGTGTAATTTGGGGATTACGCCAGTACGATGCGTGCCACGGCAGACCTTGCTGGTAGTTTATTGACACAAGCTTTACCTGAAGATTCCCGATCATACTCACATTTACCTGCTTCGTGTTTTTCATGATGTCATTCTAGTGCAGAACGCGCAGGCACATACTTTCAGATCTAACGGGAAATGACATCTATGTGTTCTGACCTTTCCATCGTCGTGTTTCTATCCAAATCGGTCAATTTTTGAATGAGTTACAGCATTTTTAATGTTTCCTACTTTTGTCTACAATATTTATGAATACATAATGAGCAAATGTATAGTAATATTTCTCGTTAATTGACTTTTCCCAACATTTATCAAACTTTTTCTATAAAGGTCAAATGGCGGTGTTGGCATCGACAGTGTTCCTTTGTGTGGACGATTTGTAGTTTTTGTGGACACTCCGTTTGAAAACTTGATATGCTCACTCAACTAAGCGATTGAAGTCATTTAATATTTGTCACATTTGTGGAGAGTACGTTATAGTCGCGTTAGTTCGATCGGTTGTTTATTGGATTAAAAAGTTAAGCCCCAAAACAAACGTGGCTCGCATCTGACCAAAAGAAAAGCCGCGTTGCTAGTCTGTTCTTTAGTGGTCTGAGATATATCTTTTTGAGATATATTTTTTGAAATTTACATGAATTATCGGTATTTATATTTTTCATTCATCCCATAGATTTCTCAAATACTGAATTGGACACGAAAATACAAACAAAAACGACGGACATCGGACATGTATCTGATTCTTGCCTGGTCAGATATTTTTATTTGAATCTGCATGTACCATGCCGTCAGCATCATTAGTTTTTTATAAGAATGACCCACTTTTTATTGAATTTGTGTTACAAGGAACATCCCCTTTAATTGGGTCAACTGCTTGTAGTCCATTTACCATTACAGCACTATAATATACATTTTAGTTCCTGTCTTAATATCCTCATCTCATGATATGCTAAATTAATTACTCCCGATTTAAGGCTTTCTCGCATATTCAATGTATAATTCAATGCTCGTAATCAATCACTTGACTCAGGTTGATAACACACACCAATGAACTAAACATTTAAATGTATTCATTGACATTTAAACTGAAAATGGTCCGATAATCAATATTCATTATTCATCCAATGCAAACAGTTTTATACGATCCTCATGAAAAGCTTCTTTGAAATCTGTGGGATTTCTTCACATTAAAATTCTACTTAATGGTGATGAGCTGTTCAAAACTTACCTCTTCCTGTGTGCTCAATTCTAAAGGAGCTACCGGTACATTAATATTTTCTCAGTTGAAATTTAAGCAGTCTGAGAATTTTCCTGATCTTACAAGAAAGTATGATATTTGAAGAAAAAGCATTGTCCGCAGAGGAAATGTAGGTTTTTGCACATGTCTACCTGTATTTGATCAGATAAGCCAGGTAAAACAAATATTAGGTAAATAACACCATTTTCAAGGGATCAGATAGTTTAAATACCTACTTTTTATTTTACTTATCAAGAACTTCTCAGTAATGTTCTGATTAAGATGGAATGGACCAATAAAATAGCTTCACCTAGGGCAACCATATTCCATGTAAACTAATAAGGGAATATTGCATTAGATTATGCAAATGAATTATTTTTACTCCAAGATACTAGCTAATTAATAATACTGGATCACCTAATTATTAAAACTAAACCTTTCAGATTCAACCATATTGAAAAAACATGACTCAGAGAAAGAAAGAACAGTGCATTGTACATGTTTCAACTTCACTGGTGAATCCCAAACAACACAAACTACAGAGCTCTGGTACACTGGTAAGCCACTGACTTCACAGTGATTCAGATTTATCAATAATTTATCATAAAAGTTTTTTTAATCATTGTTTATTTACACAGCCTAGATATAGGTCAACTGCAAGGACTGACAAACCTATAAAGTATCTTGGTCAATACTAGTATGAATTCATTATGGCGTTTAACCCTTGTATGAACTGCAAAGTGTATGTATGGAATGTATTCTATTTTAGATTTCCTGACGCCAACACATTTGTGTATATAAAATTAAAGCGCAGGGAGAGCAGAAATCTTCAGTTCTTTTAACTATGTTTACTCAGTACAGTAATAACCAAGGTATACATGTTGATTGGTATACATTGATTGTCATGTTGAAAATGGCATACTGAAATGAATAGTTATGAATATAATTGTAAATCTTCCAAATGGATATACCAGTAATGGTGTTTTGGGCGCTTAGCCCCAGCTAAGTGTCCACATACACTTTGTTAGCCTGTGCCTTAAAAACAGGTCAGATTTAACTTGTACTAAGCATTCGTACCTGTATTCTAAGCAGTGGCTAACATTTTGAGTACTGATGCATTAGATAAGCTATATTTACTTGTGCTG